TCCTCCTCCTCCTCTTTAGCTTCTTCCTCTCCCTCTTTGGCTTCTTCCTCTTCTTCTGCTTCTTCATCTCCCTCCTCTACTTCTTCCTCCTCCCCTTCTGCCTTTTCTTTTTCTTCTTCTACCTCTTCCTCCTTCCCTTCCTCTTCTTTTGCTTCCTCCTCTTCCTCCTTCCCTTCTTCCTCCTCCTCTTTGGCTTCCTCCTCTTCTTCTTTTGCTTCCTCCTCCTCCTCTTTGGCTTCTTCATCTTCTTCCTTCCCTTCCTCCTCCTCCACTTTTGCTTCTTCTTCCTCTTTTGCTTCCTCCTCCTCTTTTGTTTCTTCCTCTTCTTCCTTCCCTTCCTCCTCTTCTGCTTCTTCCTCTTCCTCCTTTCCTTCCTCCTCCTCCTCTTTTGCTTCTTCTTCCTCCTCTTTTGCTTCCTCCTCCTCCTTCCCTTCTTCCTCCTCCTCCTCCTTGGCTTCCTCCTCTTCTTTTGCTTCCTCCTCCTCCTCTTTGGCCTCTTCCTCCTCCTCTTTGTCTTCTTCATCCTCCTCTTTTGCTTCTTCTTCCTCCTCCTCTTTGGTTTCTTCCTCCTCCTCCTTGGCTTCCTCCTCCTCCTCTTTTGCTTCTTCCTCTCCTTCCTTCCCTTCCTCTTCCTCTTTCCCTTCTTCTTCTTCCTTTCCTTCTTCATCTTCCTCCTTCCCTTCCTCCTCCTTTGTTTCTTCCTCCTCCTTCACTCCCTCTTCCACTTCCTTCTCTTCCTCCTCATTTAGTTCCTCTTCCTCCTTACTTTCCTCTGCTTCTTCCTCTTTTACTTCCTCATCTTCTTCTTTAGTTTCACCCTCCTCCTCTTTTATTTCCTCCCCCTCCTCTTCAGCCTTAGCTATTTCTTCTTCCTCTTTCTCTTCCTCCTCCTCTTTTGCTTCCTCTTCTTCTCCTTCTTTTGTTTCTTCCCCTCCTTCTTCTGCTTCTTCTTCTTTGGTTTCTTCAGTTTTGGCCTCATCTTCCATCTCAGTGTTTTGACTCTCTGCTATTTCAGTTTCTTCTCCATCTCCATTCAATGTTGTGCCATCATCTTCATTTAATTCTGGCTCTTTTCCTTCTTCTTCCTCTGCTTCTGTTTCACCTGCCTGAGGTTGCTCCTCATCCTTCTCATTGTTTTCTGCCCCTTCTTCCACAGAACCATTGGGAAGTGTTTTGGTGTCCTGGGCTGCTTCTGCAACAACAGCTTCCTCATTGCCATCCTTCTTCAGCCTCAGGATTTTCTGCAAATCAAAGGCTTTCATCACTGGGGCATTGGTGGCCACCACAGGGGCTCTGGCAGGCCTGGAAGCCAGTTTTTTCCTCACACAAGAGTCACATGGACAATATTCCTCCTCACTGGATTGTTTGCTCATGCTGTCCTCCAAAGCTGCACTGAGGTTAAAGTCATTATCTACATCAAATGATAAGTCTGATGTCTCCTCCAGCCTTATCTGGGCACCATTCTTGTCCCCAAAGAGGGACTTTTTATGCATAGTTTGCAGTCTCCATCTCCTCTGCTCGGTTTGGAGTTTGGACTCACGTGTGGGTGGCCCCTCTGGAGGTCTCGGCATCCTCCTTCCTGCTCTGCTTCTGATCTTCCTCAACTCCTTCTCTATGCTCTTTTGTATCCTTTTACTCACTTCCTCCTTCAGCTCCAGTATCATTGCATCCATCTGCTGATTGTCCTGCAGGTTCCACCTGACTTTAAATTCATTCATGGCATTGACATAGTGAGCCATGAACTCCCTCTCGATTTTCTTGAGCAGTCTCAGGACCCAGGTTGGGTCTGGATCCATGGAGTTTTGCTGGACAAGGGATGTGCCCACACTGGTGGATGTATCGATTTTGGGCTCGGGATCATTTGGTGACTCTTCTTGGGGCTGCTCCTGCACCTCCTCTTTCAGTTCCGTCCCAACATCGGCATCACCAACATTTGCATCACCAGTGGCCTCTGGCTGGTCAGCTTCTTCTTCAGGGTTTTCTTCATCACCAGTGGCCTCTGGCTGGTCAGCCTCTTCTTCAGGGTTTTCTTGTGGGACTTCATCAGTCACAGCTTCAGCTTCCTCTTGTTCTCCAGTTTCAGCTAATTTGTTTTCTTCTTCGTTTTCATTTTCTCCTCCTTCCCCCTGATCATGCTCACAGTTACTGCCCTGATCCTCCTTATTCTCTTCTTCCGCCTGGATTACAGACTCCTCTCTAGCAGACTCTGCTTTTTCCTCACCTTTTGCTTCTGAGCAGGCTGTGGAAGGGCGGGATGGCTGCTCTTCCTCTTTACTTTGCTCCTCAACCTCAGTCACTTCTGTGCCAGTCTCTGCATTTTCCATTTGCTCAGCTGTTTTGCATTCCATGGTTTTCTGTGCCACCAACGTGGCACCAGCTGTGCACTCTTCTCCTGAGCCACCAGAGCAACTGCAAACATCAACCCCAGAGGAGGACATGGGAGTGAAGGCGTGATCCATGGATTTTGGGGCTTTGGACCCAGACACTGGCATTGCCACCTTGCTTGCCTCTTGATCTGAGCTTGGGCCGCTCCTTTCAGCAGTGCACCCAAACCACAGGGCTTGAAAAATATTTAGCAGCTCTGTATACCTTGACTTATTCAAATGTTTTGAGTTTTCTGATGGATCCTCTGACTCTTCATCAAGGAGTTGGAGGCTGGCAAGACAAGTAATCAAAATGTTGGCAGAGTTACTCAGTTTCCTCCCCATTGTGGGGGATACTTCAGGCAGACTATTTGATCGGTCAAATTTGGTCTCATGCTTTGAACTGAGCAAGGCCTTCATGATCTGGACAGATGTTTGGACAGAGGTTGGAAGGTCTCTCTTGTTGTTGTTTTGGCTGGATGTAACTGACTTGTTGCATTCTGCCTGCTCAGCCTCAGCAGCTTCAGGTGGAACCTCAGAGATTTTTTCCTGGTTCACACATTCTTCAGCCTCTTCAACAACAGCTGTGTCTTCTGCTTTCTCTTCTTCCACTTCATCCTTTGCTTCATCCTTTGCTTCATCCTTTTCTTCATCCTTTGCTTCATCCTTTTCAGCCTCCTCTTCTTCATTCTTCTCCTCAGCTTTTTCCTCCTCTGGGGCTTCCTCAGCATTTGTACAGTGAGACACCTCAGTGGTTGACTCTGCATGTTCCTCTTCTCCATCATCCTCCATTTCATATTTCATGAGCAATGTTTCCGAAGGGATTTTCCTGAGCCACTCTTGCACAACTTCTTCTGGAGATGCATTTGGTAGAGCTGATGGCATTAAATCACCTCCTTCCTCCTGAACACCTGCATCTTCTACCTCTTCCTCTGTTTTTTTGTTGCAAGAATCATCAATCTCTTTATTATTCTGACCATTTCCTTCAGTTGCAGCGGATTTAGAGCCGTAGGAAGTTGCTTTGGAGGAATCCACAATTTCTTTCTGCTCTCTCCCTGCGGTCAGCACGGACTCGGTGCCGATGCTGCTGATGGAGGAATTCTTCAAAATGGTCGCACGGATATTTTTTCTTTTTGGCTTCCCTTTTGGTGGGGCAGGGCATTGCAGACTGCACACTGACATAGTCTCTGACACCGATGCCCGGCTGGAATTTGACACCTTCACACGAAGATTTTTCCTGTTTGTCTGTCTTGATTTTGAAGACAGAGACATGTTTGATTGTGAACACCTATCATCAGTTTCCTGGGATATCTGGGTCAACACGCATTTATCTTTTATTTCTGACTTTGAAGAGACTCTTGAGGAGCTACTTGTGGGTTTTCCATTCCTAACCCCATCCTCATTTGGGTGGTCAACTTTTGAACATACACTCCCACTCATGCTTCCCTGTTTTGAAGAAGAGGGTTCAGAACTAATCTTGGCATGACCCTTTCCAGATTTTTCATTAGGACTTGAAAGACTTGAGCAGAGGGATGATGGCTTGCTGTTTTCTTCTTTATGGCTTCTTTTCTTTGAGCTTTTTGAACTTTCACTGTAGCCATTGGCAGTACTTTTTGAGGTCTCCTCCTCAGCAGGACCCGCAGTTGCCTCTGGTTCACTGGTAGATGAAATGTTTGAGTGAAGAGATCCTGACTTATGAGACATGATGTCTCCAGCAGATTTTTTCTTGATTTCACATGAACTTTTGGAGTAAATTGATGCCCTGCTGCCTGATCTTGCATCATCTGTATGTAGGGAATTCTTTTTATTCAGAGTTGATTCAAGTGAAGACACTGATATTTCAGACCGTGCGTCCAAATGAGCGTGGGAGCGTTTGCTCTTTTTGGACCCTCTGGAAGAGCAAGAGACACTGCATGGAACATTCTCTTCACTGCCACTTTTCTTGCTGCTCCTGTCACTAGCCTTGGAACGGTGGGTTCCCTGTGTAGAGCATCGTTCCCCTTCACTGCTCTCACCCCTGATTGATTGGCTTGGCTTTGTTTTTGCTGACACTGAGCTGACTTCATTGACTTCGCTTTCTTCCTGGTCTGCTTCCACCTCTTCAGCCTCCTTCTTGGGGCAGGACTCGCTGGAGAAAGAGGACACCACTGGGTTGTCATCAGAGGTGTCACCCTGCTCAGCCTTTTCCTTTGGTGTGGTGCAGTTACTGGACTTGCTGTGCACACTGTTGGCAGGGGTGGAGCACTGGCTGTTCTCTCCCTGGTTTGCCTTCTGAAGGCTTGAGGAGGACATGCTCCTGCCCACGCTGCTCACTTCCTCACACACGTTCTTCTTGCTCTGCCTGGACTGCAGGGACGACCTGGACATGACACTCCCAACTCTGCTGCTTTCAACCTCTTCTGGGTCATCCTTCAAGCACTTCACAGAGGAAGCTTCAAAACAATTTGCGTCCTCATTCTGTGAAATGATTTTGGTGATCTCCTGGTCTTCAGGGCTGTCTTGAGTATCCAGGTTGTTTTCACAGCTTGAATGTGACATCAAGCCCAAGGATGAAGGCCTCTGGCTGTTTCCTGTGCTTGTCCTGGTGTGTTCCTGCTGTTCTTCTCCATTGGAAGCACCGGTGGATAAATCACTTCGGCACACACACTTTTTAACAGATCGATACGCCACTCTGTTCTTTATAGTCTCTGAGTAGGATGAGGACTCTCTCACAATGTGCTCAGAGAATTCCTCACTGGATGTGGTGTGGATGCTATCCACAGATGTCATTTTTTTGTGGACTACTCTCCTGCGGGAAGATGTGCTGGAGCACGAAGAGTGCGTGTGCCAGGTGCTTCGCACGCCAGGCTCCTCCCTCTGGGACATGTGCATGGGATTCTTCCAAATGTCATAGTCCTGGTGTTTCTTTCCACAGCTGTGACAGTGGGCCTCGTCATATTCTGATTCCTCAAGTTTGGACATGTAGGAATCAATATCACAGGGATATAAGGAGTCATCTGCCTCTGAGCTGGCTTCTGGGTTCATTTTCTGTAGGGGATCTCCTCCGCTGTCCTCCTCCACTCCTGACTCTTCACAAGGCAGCTGGTTCATCAGGTTGGACTTTTTGATCTGGGTGGACCACTGCAAAGTCTCATCGTTGAGCAAACGGAAGCGAACCTTCATCTCCACAGACAAGCTCCCATCCTTGTTCACATGGACCCGCTTCTCGATGTCATCGTTGACCAGGGACTGGACCAGGTCCCCAGCTTTTGGGTGAGAGCAGCCATTGGAGAAGGGGCCCCCGTTGTCTGGAGAGGCAGCAAGGCCATTGGGGTATGACTTCTCTGATGACAAGGAAAATCTCATGGACCTGTTGCTGGATGCTGACCGTGGATGGATAACGCTTTTTTTGGCTTTCAGTCCAAAGTTCACTAAAGGAGTGAAGAAGAGAAAGATGGAGAAAGATGTTAACTCACATAAAGATGACAGAAGATATGTAAGCCAAACCCTCAAACTAGTGAATCCTGATGTTATTCCCTTCATCCATTATTCCATTCATCCATTCAAAAGCCAAGCCTATGCCAATTTACATAGTTTGAAAATTTGTCTTTGACTGAGTGATGCCCACTAATCATAGAATAGTTAATGTTGGAAGGGACCCCTGGAGATAATCTAGTCCAACTTCCTTGTTACATTTTAAATTTTGAATTAATAATCTGTAATAAAATCTTCTACACCATAACTTTATTAAAAAAAATAAATTGAAACACAAACACTTTGTTTTATTTAGTGCATGTCAGGAAGTAAAATTAAGAAAAATCAAAAATATATATACATACGGAGCAATTTAGTCTCTGAGTTCGGGCATTTTTTTCATGTTACAAATATTTCTTTATTTAACTGTGAAAGTTTTCATTTTTCTTATTTAACCAGGGAAAAATATGTGGAGAAGTGACCCTCTTCCTTAGCTGGTCACACATTTATTGCGTAGCATTCATTTCTCCACTCATATTCCAGGAAATGTGTGGCCATGTAGACCAAAGCAACACTCAGTCCCTGCAGGGGTGTGCCACTAAGAGTAATTATAATTCTTATTGAAACATAAACAACAATTTAAAAAGGAATTGTAAACTGGTGATAATTACAAAGAGAAATTGTGGGAGTTGTAGAATAAATGAGTTAGAATAAGGGAATTTAGGAATTGCAATTGGAAGAACATTTTTATGGCCCGTGCAGTGACCTGCATAGGTTTGTGTAGGTCCCTTCATTTCAAGCAGGATATGTTGCTATCAGACTCTCTTGCAAGACATTCATCTGTCTTATTTTGAGTATATGTTTGTCCAAAATTTCCTTGTACATTTATCCAGACAATTCTGTGCCTCCATGGGCATATGGAGATGCAGCTGACTGGAGGGCATTTTATGAAGGAAGTGCTGAAGAGGAGCACATCCAAATTACATTAAATAGCTCTTCCCTGACCATCCTAATGATTGAACTGATGGATTTGCTCAGTCTCTTGACAGGCAAAGCTCCAGATTATTCCCATGTTTTCCTCCAATTTTTTTATGTCTTGGATAGTGAGCATAGGATGCCTCTGTCCTCAAGTTTCTACAACTTGTTGGCAAGACACAAATGAATCTTTCCAAGATTCTGGTATTGACAATGGAGAGAAACAAACACACCTCCAGGGCACACTTAATTTCATCCCACAAGAAATCCTTAATACAGGTGAGATTAATTGCCCTTTGGAATTGGGAAGTTTCTTTTCCCAGGCTACTGAGGGTGACTTGTTTAATTATCTGTGACCTTAGATAACTCATGATGGGGTGCCAAAAAAATATAATCCTGAATAATCCATAACATACATCTTCCTGAATATAATCTTTCCCATAAAAACACACTTTGTTTGCAAAAGGCCAGATGTAACTTGCAGGAGAAACTGAGTCTCCTGCTGGCAGAACCTGGGCATCTTCTGGTACTGGTGCAGGAAAGTGCAGGAGGGAAGGCATGATAGGACAGACAACGATGGGATAGAGGATTCGTGGGAAATCTCCAGAGTCTGGGTGGACAGACACAGGAAAGGAGGGAGTTCTGGAAGGAAAAGGAGACCCAGAGATATGAAAGAGGAAGGGAAGTCAGCCAGACATGGGGAGCATGTAAAAGAAAGACTAGGGGGTGTAGGGAGGAAATCCTAGAAGGAAACCAGAGAAAAAGAAGGGGAGGATGGAAAGGCCTGGGAGGCAGGGAGAGGGAAGTGCATTTTCCACATGAAATCCATACATTGGGACAGCACAATGGGGACCTGCAATCCCCAGGCTGTGTGTAGGACTGCCCGACAAGGCCCGAGGTTTTTCTTACTGTCATTGTTCTCGTTGACATTGTTGCCATTGTTGGAGCGGGGAGGCAGGTTGGGCAGCTTCTCCACCGAGTGTTTCCTCAGATTCTCCATGGATACAGGTTTGAAGGGCTCCCGGCCTACGCACACCAGCACGTTGGGGCAGTGGAGCAGGGCCTGCATGCTGTCAATCTGCAAAGGGAGCAGCAAGGGGAGCACCATGAGCCCTGGCACAAGAATTTGGTTCTTTGACCTGCAATCAACTGACAATGAGTTGTCAGCTAAATAAAAGTGTATTTGGATGATGGTCTCAAGCATGCAATGTTGTTTTTGGGGCTTTCGTGTGCAGGGCCAGGAGCTGGACTTGATGGCCCTTGTAGGTTCTTTCCAGCTTAGGATATTCTGTGATTCAATGAAAATAAACGTGGTTCTGGAGAACTTTGGGATCTACCAAGCCTGTTGATGAATTCCTCCACTGAAAGAGAAGCTCTGCTATGTTTTCGATCAGATTTCCTAATATAGGGAAGGTCTGGGAGAGATTGCCTAATGGAGGATATATCTCATTTATTATGTGTTATACAATATTTCACATATTCTGGAAAAAAATTGGGCATATTTCATGTGGTAGTGAGGAAGAGGGTGAAACTGGAGGTGTTTCAGTTTGTTTTACAGAGAATTGTAAAAATCTCTTTAAATTCTTCTAATTTCTGTACGGGGCAGCTTTTATTACCTGAAAAATTCCCTCAGTGCTTGAGGGAATATTAAGGGAAGTCACGATTCTTGTCCCTTAGTTGATCCTTTTCAGGAAGAGGGACAAGAATCGTGACTTCCCTTAATATTCCCTCAAATACTGCTTCAGTTATAACCCCAAGTATTGCCTCAGAGCTGGACAATGAGGGGTGTTGTCCCCAGCCTGGGAAGTGCCTGTGAAGGAATCTTTGTTCCTCTACAAGAACTCAGGTTTGCACCCTTGGTCCTCACCACACGGCCTGGTCCTGGATCACACACCAAGTCCTTCATGTGTCACTTCTCATGGAACTGTATAATCCCAGAAAAGTTTGAGTTGGAAGGGACTTTTTAAATGCCATCCAGTCCAACACCCTGCAATGAGCAGAGACATCTTCAGCTGAATTTTCTCAGATCCCCATCCAGCTTTTACCCAAATACATTTGTCTCTCTCAAAGAGCAGGAATCAGTCCTGTGGGAAGCACTGGGCAGACAGATCCTGAACCTATCTTCCATCTTGTTTCTGCAACCTCTCCTTTGAAAGGCAGAAGTTGAGTTCTCAGGTGAAATACCTGATGTCTTTCAAAAGAAAGAGAAGACTCTCTTTCTCTCTGAGAGTGTCACAGACACATTTTATGAAAAATCCTTTCCTTAGGATTTTTTTCTCCTGAGAAACTGAGAGGCCTCAGAAACAAAATGCAAACAATGATTATCTGCTGCTGTGGAATGCAACAGGTGGATCTTTGATTGGTCCGTGTTGGTTGTTTGTAATTAATGGCCAATTACAGTCCAGCTGTCTTGGACTGTCTGAGAGTCACGAGCTTTTGTTATCATTCTATTCTTTTTCCTTTCCTTTGCAAGCCTTCTGATGAAACACTTTCTTTTTTAATATAGTATATATCATATATATACTATATATATATATATATATATATAGTTTTAATATAGTATATATATATAGTTATATATATACTATTAAAACTATAGTTATATATATACTATTAAAACTATATATATAGTTTTAATATAGTATATATCATAAAATAATAAGTCAGGCCTTCTGAAACATAGAGTCAGATCCTTGTCTCTTCTCTCATCCTGGGACCCCTGTGAACACCACCACGTGAGAGGACTTTAGAGTGGCCAATTTCTGGCAGCTTTGTGCATCTCCACAACGTGGGATGTCCCTTCCTCCTCAGCCTGCTACTTCAGGAGAACATCTCTAAAGCATAGGGAAGCCTTCAAGAGGTGACCATGCCATGGGTTACCAAGCCAGCACTGGTGTTGGGCTTATCAAGATGCACCCCGACCTCACCCTGTCACTAAATCATCATCCTCTTAATGAGAACCAAGATAAGGAATCTCAAAGGAGCAGCGATGACAGTTCTGTAGTTGTCACATGTGCCTGAAATAACAGTGTAAAGGAAAGACCTCGGCCTCTAAATATTGTTACAGCCAAGGAATGAAGAACCAGAGCCCCTTTGGAGCCCTCCGTCTTGAGATGCTCCTGGGGTCTTCCAAGATGTCCCACCAAGACTGTGAGATGCACTAAGGGATTGGTGTTGGATCTGGTGCAAATAAATGTATGGATGGTGGAAGAGCAAGACAGAGATAAATGGAAGAACATTCTAGATCCAGTTAATCACTTCTGAAAGCATTTCTTGCAATAAAACATGTGGCACCAACTTTTTCATGGGAATACAGTAAAAAAACCCTTTGTCTTCCCATTAATTTATATTTTGTGCTTGTGTTATAACAATGTTTGTGTTTTAGGCCCATCCAGTTTGCTATGAAACCTAAAATAAGAGAGTTTTCCTCACTGAGACGTACATTAAATTCTGCAGAGCAACAAAACTACCAAATTCATGTGATGGGTACCATGACACAGAAAAATATCCCACAAATCTCAGTTTGCTTCTGTTCACTCCATTTCTGGTCCATCTATTACTGAAAAAACCCTTTATATAGTCCAAATGAAAATAGCTTTGTAGCTCACTTTAAAAGTTTACAGAAAGCCTAGAATTTAATAAATCAAATATTTTGAGTAGGTTTTTGCCATCTGTTAATGGAAATTCTGTTCATTTCTTTATTAATTTAAAGGAAATTCTGTTAATTTCTTTCTTTACTTTTGTGTTCTATTTCCCCCTGATCTTATAAAAGTAGGAAAAATAAGTGAGGATAAAAAAAAAAAAAAAAAAAAAGAAAAAAAAGAAAAAAAAAAAAAAAAAAAGAAAAATAGACAGGAAACGTGTTCTGTCCCTAAAGTAAAAGAATCTTGTCTTTCAAGCCCCACTAAGTTTAGGAACTGTTCTATTTGTAAAGGATATTTTTTTCAGTGAAAGCTATTTTTGTCCACATTTTCTCACGTGGTTCCATGTCTGGGTGTAGGTATTTCAATCACACTCATCACTGCTGTGCTGTGTGTGCAGAAAATAGATGGTGCCAATGACAGAGAGTCAGGGATCCATGGAGCTCAATCAGCTGAGTTAGGGGAATTTATACATTCTTTTATATGGAATACACTTGTGTTATGTCACTTTAAATAGTCTGTATTTGTAGTACAGGGTGTTTCTGACATCAGCAGCACTTTAGCTGTGTTTGTACCTATAATGTCAATTTTCTTCCTAATGTCTTGCAAGATTAATCTCTTTAAATCAATAATTCCAGAGATTCATCTTTGTCATGCTCATTGCTAAAAACATTTTGGTAGTTTGAAATACAACTGAATGTTTTCTGAGGGTTAAATAAATGCCATTTCTCACATTGATTTAATGCAGCATCCACTGTTTCAGGGCAGTGCAGGGTTGGGATAGCAGTTAATTCCATCTGCTCCATACAGAGCCTTCCCACGCAGCTGCAGGAGTTCCATCCTCACAACACACTGCCTGGGATTTCCAGAGAACATCTGTTTTCAGAGCCATCAATATGAAATCCTTTACTAGAGCTGAATTGTCACTGAACAGCACATCCCCTCTTGCATGTTTAACAACTTGCAGCTCACTCAGTGTGTCCTGGGTGAGGCCCATGTAATTCTGTGATTTTAAAGCAATAGTAAAACCTCAGATTTTTCTGGCAAACAGATTCCCCACTTCCCTCAGGCTGCCACAGCACAACTTCTGAGCAGCTATGCTAGGATATTCAGAGAAAACAGTATTAAATCTCACCACAATTTAGCGAAAATACACCCAGAGGCAATGGATTGTAAATCCTTAAAATCTGGTGGTCACCTGAAGGAGATGTGATGGAGAAGAGAATGCCCTGCTCTAATATTTCTGCATTAATTCATCCCACAGGATTGTAACTCGCCATCTACAATCAAGGCTACTTGGTGGAGAGCGGCCAATATTTTTAGGAGACGGGTAATTTCACCTAATGCAGGTCAACATTTCCCCTTGGACATGCCTGATTCTCACTGATGACATAGTCAATCGTCTCAGTTGTCGAAATGTAGATTCACAGAAAAAACTGAGATGTTCTAGAGTATCCAATAGGTGCCTGAGGATGGCTGACAGGATAAAAGATAAATATGAGACCAGAAAGTTCAACAGGAGTCATCAACCACATTCACAAAGTTAGAAAATAAGGTATCTTCATTTGCAAGCTGAGTCCCAAAACATGGGAACCTCAAGAATATTTTAATTAGAAGTGAACAATTAGGAATAAAATGGAAGAGAAATAATGGCTTATGATAAAGGTGTTTGATGGGTTAGCAAAGAGTTGCTTTGGATCACTCAGGATCCATTCAGGGCCTTTCTGGAGTTCCCTTGATGTAACTCAGTCACAGTTGAGGCTGTGGATTATCAGAGACAAAAATCCACAAAAATTCATGGGGTCAGCCTCTATAAGTTGGCACTTGCTGGGCTGGAATAGACTCCAATAAAAGTTTTATTGTGTAATACCTGAAAATTAAATAAAATTTCTCAATCTGACTGTAAAACCTTATCCAAGTCCCACTGTAACAGATGGAGAGAACTTTGGTTACCTTCACAGACTCTGGATCAGGATCCAAGAGGATTATGGATGCTGTGAGTGAAGGTCTGGACAAGAGCCCAGCCTGGATGAGTCTTAGAGCAGCCTGGTCTAGTGGAAGGTGTCCCTGCCCATGGCAGGGGGTTGGAACAAGATGATCTTTAAGATCACTTCCAAGTCGAACCATCCTATGGTTTATGATTCATTATCCCCCACCAGAGGAATTCCCTGCCCCAGTGGGACATGGCATTTATAGATTGGTCCAAAAAACTTTGATGTTCTTTCCAACAAAAATGATTTACAGACATTAAGCTCCACTGGGATGGTCATTTCAAGTGAGGCATAAATGAAAACACATCCTCTCTTCTGAAATACTCCTTTTTTTTGCAGTCTGGCTGCTATCCACTGAGGATGGATTATCTCCATGAATTCTGCTGTACAGGATCCACCAGCTGCTGTGATCTCAGCAAGGACCTCTCCACTAGGCCCTACAGCAA